CTTTGGGGTAGGGCTTCTTTTCTTTCTCTGAGATTTCACTATGGAAGCCAATGGGATGTCAGATATATAGATTCTGCTCCAAGGCCCAGGGATCCTTGGTTTTCCAAGGCTATACTCTCAGCTATTAAATCAACAGTGAGCATGATAGCAGGTAGAAAATACCTTACTGGGCAGTTGCTTCTAAACATTTTCTAGAAGGGCTGCACAAACCTTTGATCAATAGCTAGTTATCACTACAAGTTTCCTTCCTGCTGAATCACTAAAACTTCATCTCAGTCAGTTCAGTAGGATCCCAATATTTTAAAAAGATTTATTTATTATTTATGCATATAGAACTGGGGTACAAGCCAGAGGTGCAGGGGCGGTGTAAGGATTCACCAGAGACAGAGTGGGGAGCAGAATAGACTGACTAAGTACACTGCTGAGGGGAGCAGCAGGCGGGTCAGGAGAGGTCTGCTGTGCCATGTGGGTCACCTCCAGGGCTGGATCGAACTCGCACTGAAGTGGCCATGGCTAGCTTGCAGTGCTGTGTCCTAACCCTTTGCCCCAACAGGGAGGACCAGGATCCCTATCACCTCCTACCACCTCCTAACTTTTGAGAGAAATATCTAGGGTCAAACCTAACAGTTGGGGCTGGTAGACCATCAGCTCCTCAGTTTTCATCTTTGATATCTGGCTGTAACTACACTCTCATGTAGTATCCAGTAATAGCTACAACTTTCTTATTCTGATTGTAAGGCCTATGGGCTCTTGGCTGTCTCTCAACTCTTGCTTGCACCTCTTGAAGGGCATAGAAAACATTCACCAGTTCTTCTGTGGAACTCTGGGTGGGGAGCAAGCAACAGGACATAGGACATACTTGCAGCTATCTCTACACTCACATGCTGAAAATGATGAGGGGGAGTGTGTGTGTGTTTGTGTGTGTGTGTAGGGTCACTTCCCTGAGTTCCATGGATGTGAAGCTCACATTCCCTCTTATACCTTTCTGGGGCTTTGTCTCCTACTCCACTGCACCCTCCACAAGAACCCTTCTCTTGGGTGGTTCTGCTCTCCCCCATCAGAATGAGTCAGCTGGCTAGGGACTAATGAGGATAGAAGGACTATATATGACTGAGCACAATATTCCATCCAGCCTATTGTTCACACAAATACTTTATGCCTTTAGCCTTTCTAAG